GCCTTAAAAACAAACACACACAAAGCAACATCATTTCAAGAATACCCGTATTTATTAAACACATGGAGGATGGATTAGAAAGACATACAATGAACACACTAAAATGAATAACTATGGAAGATGAAGGGGAATGGAATGAAGGGGAAAAGACATAAAAGAAAAGAAGATGAAACAAAATAAAACAAATAAAATGAAATTAAAATAAAATAAATAGACTGTGCCCAGAGAGATCCAAATGATAATATTGGGACAAACTGAGGAGTATATTTAATTTGATTCTATGCACCTGGTCTAATGGGAGAAGGATTGGGAAAGACAAAGAAGGAAAAAGATAAGAAAACAGAATAAATATACAAATGTATAAATAATGTATAATAATATCTAATGTATAACCTTATCCTCTTGATATTGTAAAATTACAAATTAATATTTGTCATTTTCCATAAAACAACTCACATTTGAATATTTTAAAAATAGGACATGTAATCTTTATGCAGTTACCACTTTAATCCTATCAATTTTAATCCATCTAGTGCAAGTTGTATACAAAGATGACTCTTTTTCAGCACATAAAGTATTCATATTTTTTCCTCACAAAGTGATACTCACTGATTTGTAGTTTCTTATTCTGTTATGTTTGTCTAAAACTTTTCATTATTAAAATCAGTAAAATTCTTTGATTTGTTTATAAGGCTACCCTCAGTATCAAATTATTTATCTCCATATTCAACTGGAATTCAGTGATTCCAAAACTGTATAACATTAGCTTTAACACTGTATTTCTTAATGTGTATAAAAGTTTCTTTCCTCCCTCTGTTTCCTTGTGTATCATATTCAAAGGCTTTTATAGATTTAGAAAACAACTACATGTAAAAAAAATTGGAATCATGATGCAGATACTGTTTTGAAATCTTTTTTGTTTATTTGGCTGTTTGGTTGATTTTTTTACTTAGTAATACGTTGTTAGCTTCTTTCAGTGTCGTTATTCTTCCAACATATGATGTAGGAAGCTAGGGCTTTGCCATAACATTTTTTAATAAATATACTACCAGACATTTTTATTATTTCCAGGTCTTCATTCTTCTAAAAAGTGCTTCAGTGAAACTAAAATGGGTGTAGTTTAATTTTTAAACGAAATGTAGAAGTTTGAAAGGGGCGTGCATTAAAATAAATTATGCCTTAAGAAAACCTGATAGGATTCAAACACTTGCTCATATGTCAGATGCTAGTCTTCATTGCTCTGTGAGAGCATTCAATTGCTTGCAAGTTTTAGATTAGCAGAACACAATGGGCATTTTGTGCAATCAAGTAATAATTGTTTGTGTTAAGAATACTGTTACGTTTAACTAGTGATTACCAGTGGGGAGAGGGAAGAGGGGAGGGCTAACATAAGGGTAGGGGATTAAGAGGTACAAACTACGATTTATAAATAAGCTACAAGGATATATTGTACAGGACAAGAAATATAGCCAATATTTTACAATAACTTTCAATGAAGTATAATTTACAAAAATTTTGAATCACTGTTATACACCTGAAATATAATCTTGTAAATTAACTATGCCTCAATTAAAAAAATTTTAAAGAATATTGGTATTCGTAGAGAATGGACTTGACATGGGGAGGGGGAAGGGTAAGCTGCGAGGAAGTGAGAGAGTAGCATTGACATATATACATTAGCAAATGTAAAATAGGTAGCTAGTGGGAAGCAGCCGCTTAGCACAGGGAGATCAGCTTGGTGCTTTGTGACCATCTAGAGGGGTGGGATAGGGCGGGTGGGAGGGAGACCCAAGAGGGAGGGGATATGGGCATATATGTATACATATAGCTGATTCATTTCGTTATAAAGCAGAAACTAACACAACATTGTAAAGCAATTATACTCCACTAAAGATGTTAAAAAAAATAAAAGAATACTGGTATTTTGAAAATACTATCTCTAACAAGAGTGAAGGAGAACTGGAAGGAGATTTGCACACTTCTTCCCACAGTGAAAAGTGTAACATAATCCAAAGCTCTCTGCTTTCTTACCCACCTCAAATACCATAACACTTGGGATAAAATACAATAAATAAAAGCATGTTATACAGAAGTCTGTGAGACCTAGGTTAGGGTTCATTGCAAAACAAGCCAACCAATTCAACAATACTGACACAAAACACTGAGCTGTGTCCTGTAGTGCGTACAAAAGTGAACAAGATGGAATCCTTACCTTCAAGGCATGTATAATCTGGCACCGGTGGTAGGAGGGAAAGCAATGCTTTAAGGGGAGAGAATATACATTCTCTGTGTTACAACATGCCAGCATTTTGTAATGAACTTTTTATAGGAAAAATTGCACGTGCCAAAGAAAACAGGCTGGGGTATAGGGGCAGATGCATGGGAAGCAAGAAGAGATGTGAGCATGACTTTACAATATATCCAGATATGAAGAGCAATATATCCCAAAAATGACAACAAAAGCAATAGCGATGAAAACCCCAGGGATAAGAAAAACTAGTTTAAGGCCATATGATGGTTCAGATGATGAACTATAGGGAGCCAAAGGAGGAAAAGTTATGAGCACCTTCAGGTAGAAGATGGCAACTTGAAACAGCCTTCATGATAATGGTGGGAGGTCAGGAAATAGGTATGGGAGCATCTACATTTCCTGGAATTCTCTATAGAACCTGTTCCACAGGTTAGGTCTACCATAAAACTAACCTTTTCCTAACCTAAACCCTGCCGAGACATAAGGGAGCAGAAATGCTCAATACAAACTTTGGCCTCCCAGAATTTAGAACACACACCTCCGTGACAGTGCTAGGCCAAGAGCTAATATCCACCCAGCAGATAAAAAGGCACAAGAGACATCCGTGCTACCAAAGAGAGTTTCTCAACGAGGGGCCACGGTTTTTCATCATTCCCACCTACAAATTTCAGGCCTGGAAGTGAAGGCTGAATATGAGAATGACTTTAGTAGAGAGAAAATGAGGATTGCTGGGAGAGAATAAGTGAAGAAAGAGGATGTTTGAACAGATAATTTCTCAGTGCTGGCTACGCATCAGGATCATCAGAGCTGCTGGTTAAAAGTACTGATTCCTGCCCCCACCTACCCACCTGGGGTGATTCTGATTCAATAGGTTTAAGATGAGGTCTGAGAATCTGTGTTTTGCAAAACCTCTCTAAGTGATTCCCATGTATAGTTAGGTTTAGACTCCATATGAAATCCCTACCCTCCATGAAGATGTAGAATATATGTATTTGTATATGCGTATAATGTTTCGCAGCATAAATGGGTAGAAAAAAAGATAATTAAATCACTGTTTCCCTGGGCAAATCCCTTAACCTAGCTCTAACTCAGTTCTTCCTCTGAAAAATAACGAATATGGAGTAGAAAATAATTCAGACCCCTTGCAGTTCTAAAATAACATGATTTTGGTACTTAGTTAAGTGTGAGCTTTAAAGAAAAATTAACTCAAGGAAAAAACATCCCATCTGGTCTTACTGAAATATTGTGAAAAGTTTTCGGTTCTAAATTGGTTCCTTATATAGAGTTTCCTTTTCTTTTTTATGATCTTTTTTGGTAATACTCTCTTTAAACTCACAGATATGGAATATTTTAAAAGAATTGTTATAAATAATATAAATGCCAGATTCTGTTTTACATAAGTCAAACAAAATAGCAGTGGTACAATGTACCAACATAACAAAGTACGTGTGATTTACACAGTATGAAAGAACTTTATTTTGATTTTTTTAAATGTTCAAAAACCATGTCCTACTTGGTTGGGGGCTGTTGCCTCTACTTTGTTCAATACAATTTTAGCAACTCAAGAAGTGATGATGACATCAATGGTCCTCTGATATAGGATGTTCCTTTGACCACTTGGCACCTAGAATAGTTTGTGACCCATAGAGGGTGATCAAAAAATATTTATTGAATGAATTAATAAATTCACAGCTATGCAAAAATATTTCTCTTTGCACAAGTTCTCACCAGTGGCTCTTAAACTATGTATTTCTATTGACAGTTTAGTCTCCTTAACATTCTAATATAATTTTTACCCTATAGTTTTCATGTGAATCAATAGGTTTTGGTACCAATTCCAATCTGGGTGTGGGGGGGGTGGTGGTGGAGAGTTTCCCTATACCAACAACAAGCAATTCTAGGGACACCAGCTGGGTGTCCTATGATTCAACTCAATTCTGACACTACCTACCTGCAGATAGCATCAGATTCCACAGGTTAAACATTGAGGGTTCAGTCCTACAAGACTACCCTCCACCGGACTTCAGGAATCAGTCACAAGCGTAGGTCGTTGCCTGTGCTTCTGACCCACCTAATACAGATTGGAGGCTCCCATGACACCCTCCTTAAACTTCAGCACCAGTTACAAGCAGAGGTTGTTATGTGTACTTTTGACAAACAGCTATATATGAGAGGTTCCCATGACCTCTTCCTTTGGTTTGAATAATTTGCTAGAGAGACTCACAGAGCTCAGAGAAACATTTTGCTTACCAGATTACTGGTTTATTATAAAAGGATATAACTCAGAAACAGGCAGATGGAAGAGATGCACAGGACAAGGTATGGGGCTTCCATGCCCTCACCAGACATGCCACTCTCGGCACTTCCACATGTTGCCCGAACTGGAAGGCCTCAGAACCTGTCCTCTGAGTTTTTATGGAGGCTTCATTACACGGTCATAATTGATTAAATCATTGCCATTGGTATTGATTCAACCTCCAGCCCCTCTCCAGGAGACTGGGGAGAGGGCATGGTACTAATCACATGGTTGGTTCCTCTGGCAGCCAACCCAATCTTTAGGTTATCTAAGGGCTTTCCAAAAGTCACCTCATTAACAGATAACAAGAAATTCCAAGAGTTTTGGGAGCTCTGTACCAAGAACTGGGTGCAAGACCAAATCACAGTGAGTCTAAGTAAGTTTAAGCCTTTTAACCACATTCAACATTTAGTTAAACTTCAGAAAACATTCCTGAGCTGTTCTCTTACCTACCTGCAAGTGCTACTTTTCTGCATGACATCAGCTCGATGATACCCAGAGAGTTTGCAAAAACCGTCATTACTATAAACTACAGGCCAATCCACAATCTGGGCGTTTCCCAGTAAGAAACTCGATTCTAAAGGAGAAAGAAGAAAAGGGAAGTTTTTCAGCTTCATTTAACAATATACTTCTTTCAAGTAATTAAAAAGACAAATTCATAAAAATAACAAATATAACTATGGTTTGTTATGGTACAAATAATAAAACGTATCCTTGAAACTGGCATTATTAGTTTAGAATGATCAGCAAGTGAGATCTGCAATGAGTACAAGATTTGCATGTAAACTAAAAACTCCATTGAAAAGAAGCCAGTTTACAATACTCTTTGCATTCAAGTAAACACTACACTATGAGAACAAAGCATGGTTAATATTAAATAAATGTTAATGACTATAATAATCACAGCTAAAAACAGTTTAATTTATTAAGACTAAGGGCTACAGTCACTTCTCTAAAAACTGAGAATATTAAACTTAATAACAGAGACAAATTTGGATGACTCCTCCAAAAATTGTATTAATGTAATTTTGACATGATGGGACAAATTCTTTGTCCATCAGTTTGATCTAGAGAAGTCTAATTTAAAATCAAATTTTTAAATAAAGTCCCTTTTTAAAATAAAATTATTCAAAGACATTATTTTCAACCACATGCTACACAGAATTTGGAAACTACCATTATTCTAAATAAAAGAAACATCTCTGGTCTGTTTTGCATGGAGAAGTGGTTTTGCTTTAGGTATAAAAATTAATACAAAAAATAATATCTTTTGGCATATACCTTGATTGAAAATCCAACAGTTTTAGGCAGTAACTTTAGCAGTTTTGTAGGTCAAATGATAAATATGTTAACATCAAAATTAAAACAATATTAAAATATAAAACATAAAATTATTTTTAAAATAAATATCAATATTTTACAAGCAGATTTTTAAGGGAATACTATACTTCAAAATATCTACCTAAAAAATCTTCTTTGAACTCATATTGAGTGGTGTACTGAAGAGAAATTAACTTATGAGTAGATGACTTGAAGTTTAAATTCTGACTTACAGTTACTCTTTATATAAATAACAATGCAATTCACTGACTAAGTAGCTGCTAAGTAAAAGGCACTACTCTGGATCAGACAATGGGATAAAATAAAGATCAATAAACCATGCCCTTTACTCTCAAACAACTTACATATTAAGAAAAACAAATATGTAACCAAGTACAATTTACCAGAACAGATGCCAAATCAAGAAGCATGGGCCAACATATGGGAAAAAATCTGTTTCAAGGCATTAAAAGACAATCAAAAGTGGACAGAAACTAGAAAAGATAAACCCTTGAAAAAAGGAAGACACATTAGGTGAGATGTTCATTTAACTGTCCATTCCCGAGAGCACGTCTCAGTTTGTAAAGTTCGTGGGTGACAGAGCTCAAATAGAAAAGTCTTATGGGGCTAAAAAGTCAAAGGTCATAATTTGGGACTGCCAAAGCAGCTTGAAGTTAAGGTGGACTTCCTTTAACATATGGAGCCATAAACCTGTATATAAATCTACCTCAAATCCTCCTCTGTGACCTCAACTGCATGCACAGGATGAGACTACAAGGAACCCATCTTGTCTTGCAATGACTAGAAGGCTAAAGAGGTAGGCAGAAACTTCATCAGCTTCCCAAAGCTACAGGACAAATTTTGGAGTTCGAGTCCTATCAAGTTAGAGAAGCTTGGTAAATACCTTGAGCTTTCCATTAATTCCACAGAAGGCCTTACTTCAGGAATAAAAATCAAGTCTCAGGATAAAGGGTTATGACCTGAGACTAAGATCAAAAATGTAGAAAACACTCATATTA